ACCGTGAAATCGACCCATATAGGAGAAAGGAGGAACCGGCAGCCTTTGTGCTAAACGAAGCCAGAGAAATGATAATCGACCTAGTTGGAAAACTAGAGGCTCACATAGACAGAAATACGAAAAAGGAAAATAAAGACTTAACTATCCGAATGAAAAGGCAAGTAGAAACCTTGCAGAGCAACACAGTGATTGAATGGATAGAAAAAAACAAATATGGAGAACCCGTCAAGATGACGTTTGATGCCGACGTGCAAACTGACCCGAGGGTGCCAAGAAGAGAGATCGGAACGCAGACGAAAGATGAACACAGTATAGACGAATTGAAGCATTGTAGTACCTATCAAGAGTGGGAAGACCTAGCCGAGGCAAACTGGGACGAGTCGGTATATCAGATAACAGAACTAAAGGAAGGGAACCCACTAGAGAATAAAGAAGTCAGAAACAAAACGGTACTGGTTAACAAGGACGACATGAAGATGGAGAACGGCATACAGAGGCAGTTCAGGGAGAAATACCCAGAACTGACAGAAATTAATGAGGACTTTGGAATCCTGGAACAGGAACACAAGATAAGAACCAGAACTACCACCGGCTCAATAAACACAAGGAAGCTAGTCAAACTCACATATGGAAACAATGAAGAGGATATCTACAACATGATGATGAAATTAAGGGCGGAGACAAACAATGCTAAAACAAGTAAAAGAATCCCTCAGGGGGAAAGAAGAAGGGAAAAACCTCCGTGAAATCAGGAGCACCAGAGAAGGAAAACTGCTAATAACCATGAATAAAGACTCGGAAGGAGCCCGAAATCTACAACGGGTACTTGGAGACAAATGTAGGATACTAAATGACAGAGAAGAAAGCGAAACAATCATCATTAGAGGAATAGACGGAGTAACAAACCAGGAAGAAGTTAAAGAAGCGCTGAGGGAGAGCATTCCAAGCCTAGAGGACAAGGGGTACCAACTAAGTGAGCTCAGACCGGCCGCGAACAACACGCAAGCGGCCACACTGACTATGAATAAGAACGATGCGGAAGCCCTAATAAAAGGGAGAGTGATCAGAATAGGCTTTGTCAACTGCACTGTAGAAAGGAAAATAAAATTGACAAAATGTAACTAATGCTGGCTATATGGACACATGCAGAAGGATTGTAGCGGCCTAGACAGATCTAAGCTGTGTTTCGTATGCGGCGAGGGGGGACACGTAGCGAAGGATTGCAAAACAGACAAAAGATGCCCGATATGTGAGGAAGACGGACACAGCGCTGGAACAGGCCAGTGCAGAGAATTTAGGAAGAATCTCTGGAAGGCAAGAAAATATGAAAGATCAATCACACACACACAATGACCAATAACACCAAAATCCAAATACTCCAGTTAAACCTAAATAGGTGCAGGGCAGCGCACGACCTACTATACCAGACCATAGTAGATGACAACATCGACATTGTAATAGGGCAGGAACCAAATAAAAATATGCGCACAGACTATAGCGATGAAAAATCCGACGCCTTCATAAACATATGTAAGAAAAAGCACATCGTGAAAAAAGAGACTAGCGGAAAGGGTTTTGTGCTGGTGGAGCTGCAACATTTCATAATAATATCGTGCTACTTTTCGCCAAATGGGGACGTGGAAGATTTCAAACAATTACTAGACGACATTGAAGTACAAATAAGAAACACAGGCAAGGAGACAGTAATCGGAGGGGATCTAAACGCGAAGACACCTATCATCGGCTCTCGAAATGTGAACCAAAGAGGACAAATCTTCGAGGACTGGATTATGACAAATAACTTGATAATAGCGAATGAAGGCAATACCCCCACTTTTAACAATGCAAACGGCAGCTCACTGATAGATTTCACCGCATGTAGTGAAAAAATCTGCAACAAGATCAAATCTTGGAGGGTTGACGACTCCAGAGAAAACCTTAGCGACCACAGCAGCATAAGATACCACATCTAGCTAGCACCACAAACAAGACAAAGTAACCTGAAACTGAAACAGATCGGATGGCACATGACACCAGAGAGCCAAACCTCTTTCGCCACGAAATGCGAAGGTATGTTTATAGACATCAACGAAATAACACCTAAGAAGATAATAGAACGCCTATCTGAACTCTGCAACGAGTCTTTCCGCAAAAGAATGGCGAGCACCGGAAAAAATAAGCCGACATATTGGTGGAACGCGAACATAGCCGAGAAAAGATCCTCCTGCACGAGGGCGAGTAGGAAATTAACAAGGGCTAGAGCAAATAAAAGGACGACCCAAAGGATAAAGGAAGAACTGGAAGCATTATATAGGACAGAGAAGAAAGAATTAAAACACCTGATTATGAAGAGTAAAGCAGAAAGATGGAGACAATTGTGTGACGAGCTGGATGACGATGTGTGGGGAAAGGCCTATCAAATAGTAACGAAAAGACTTAAACTAAGAAACAGGACACCCCCAGATGACAAAACGATTGCAGAGCAAATAGAAACGCTTTTCCCCACACACGAAAGGGTCACATGGGAGCCCCTAGAAGTAGCCGAAAACGAGATACCCCCGATTCTACAGGAAGAACTAAAGGATGCCATAGGTCAAATTAAAAAAAAAGAAGGCTCCGGGACCGGACGGCATAACGCCTGAAGTCGCCATACTGTGTGTCAAGAGGAATACAGATAAGTTTTTAGAAGTTTATAACAATTGCTTAAAAAAAGGTGAATTCCCTGAAATATGGAAGACGGCCAATCTGGTACTCATTGAGAAGCCTAGAAAAGAAAATCAAACAACAACAAGCTATAGACCGCTATGCCTCATAGACTGTGTCGGTAAAATATTAGAGATGATAATCAAGAATAGACTGCATGCGGAGATGCAAGAGAAAGACTTAATCCATGAACATCAGTACGGCTTCACAAAAGGCAGATCTACTCTGGACGCTATCATGAAGATTCAGGATATTACTAGAGTCGCAAAGCTGAAAGCATACAAGAATCGGGAGATCTGCGTGATGGTGCTGCTAGACGTGCAGAACGCGTTTAACTCCGCACCGTGGAGGGAAATTGTCAGAGCACTAAAAACAGGAAATTTCTCGGATTACCTTGTGAGAATGGTGCAGTCATACTTTACTAATAGAAAAATCATCGCCCAGAACGAAAGAGTATTTGACATGACGTGCGGAGTACCCCAAGGGTCCATATTGGGACCAATTCTATGGAATGTCCTGTACAAACAAGTGTTATGCCTGGAGATGGAAGAGGGAGTCGACTTGATTGCGTACTCGGATGACCTGGCCATAGTGGTCAAGGCCAAAACCGTTGCAAGCTTGGTGGATATAGCAGAATACGCCGTGAGAAGAGTCGTGGAACGCCTAGAAAGAATGAGCATAACCGTGGCAAAGGAAAAGACCGAGTCTATCCTACTGCTCACAAGAAGGAAAATAAAAGAAGTGGAAATAAATATTCAAGGGACGAAGGTGATGACGTCGGACTCGGTGAGATATCTGGGGGTTACCTTGGACAGAAACCTGCGTATGACACAATACATTAAAAACATAGTGAACAAAGGAACACAAATGATGAACCTGCTGCTCAGAATCATGCCAAGAGTTGGAGGCCAAAAAACAAGGAAGAGAAGGATAATAGCATGTGCTGTCACTTCGGGAATATTGTACGCCGCACCTGCATGGAGCATTGCGCTTGAATACGGATATTACCGCGACCTCTTGAAAAGGGTGAACAGAAAGATGGCAATAGGCATAACATCGGCATATAGGACAGCAAACACATTGGCGGTGGAGGCGCTGGCAGGACTACCACCGATGGATCTAATGGTTGAAGAGCGGCAGCAGATTTATCAACGAGGACGAGACTACAAAGAGACAACAAGAGTAACACTTATGGAAAGCTGGCAAGAGAGGTGGCAAACGTACAGTGGCTGGGCCAAAACATTTGTTAAAAATGTAGAACAATGGACCAAGAGAAGGCATGGAGAGCTGGACTACCACGTAACCCAAGCAATGACCGGCCACGGAAGTTTCGGCACATACTTGAAAGATATCAAGAAGCGAGAAAACGATGAGTGTTGGTATTGCGGAAAAAGGGACACGCCAGATCACACGATTTTCCACTGCCCAAAGTTCAATATACATAGAGCCACGGCCACAGAGGTATGTGGAGTGGGAGTAAGTGCTGAAAATATCGCCGAACTGCTACTGAAAGACGAAGAAAGCTGGCGCGCAGTCACAAGGATGCTAAGGGAAATAATGGAGGAGAAATGTGACGAAGAAAGAAGACAACAATAGAGAAATCAACTGAGAAGGAGGAATCCCTGAAGTAATGCTATTCGGCAGTCCCGGGGACGGTAGGGGAAGGGTTTTAGTGGGTAGACACGTCCGGAGTCCCACACTACCCGATGCGCATGACCACCAATAATGCATCGGGTGGGTTAAGTTGGGTTAAGTTGGGTTAAGTTCGGTTAAGTAAGTTGGGTTAAGTTGATAGGCGAAGAGAAAAGAGACTCTCCATTTGAGATGTGAAAATAGAAATGGCTTCGAATTTTCTCTGCTTTCTGGCTTTGATTTGTTCCGATATTTCATCGTCACAATTTGGAGGAAGGAAATCCAATTTAATCCGATGGGTCAATTCGTCCCAGGTATTGACTGAAGTTTTGATATTTCTAAACCACATTAGGCTATCACCAGAGAATAATAAAGTGGCAGACTTGAAAAGTTGTTCATTGGTAACCTCATATGCGGCAGCAAGCTCGGAAACTCTCTCAAGAAAGTCATACACTCTTCTGGAATCTCCAGTAAATTTTAAGTTCCATTCGGAAATGAAATTTTTGTTATTAGAACAAGACAAAGTAGCGGGAAACACAGAAACATTTGATTGAGGAGCCAAGGTAGAGTTAGCAAGAGCAGGTGGAGCTTGAGCGCCCTGAAATTGGTCCACTTTTTCATGAGTATCAGCATCAAGAGTAAGACAACGGACATATGCCTCATGTTCATATTTCTTCGTCTTTAGTGTCATCCTCAGGAACGATAAGTCTTTGGATACGTGCCATTACATGTGCAAGACGGGTTTTGATTTTGAGGAAAAGTGTATCAGAAGGATTGCCTTCAAAGTCAGCAACCAAGGTAGTGATGCTAGCAATTGTGGTATCAATTTCTATAGACTCGGTAGGAAATGCAAAGGTAAATTTATAGACACCAACGTTTGATTGATTGCCACCCTGAGCTACTTTATCTAAAAGGCGCTTTAAAAGTGTTATTTTCTCAGGACGTCCACAGTTAGCAAGGACTCCTCTGAACTTCAGCTCATAATCAATTTCAGACACAAGTAAATGCCGGGGACTAATGGAATCTGCCATGTTTGAAAGATAAATTTGAATTGAAATATAAAATTTTAAAGATACGATTCAGGAAAGGATATTATTCAAATAGTTAGGTAATTGAGTAGTTAATCAATTTGGACATGTTTATGTAATTTTGGTATACCTAAATTCGAGTGATGAGTAATACGAAAATAAAAGATAAAATTTTACCATACTGTATAATATTCAATGATGTTATTAATCGGCCCCTTGAGTTGGGCGCTAATTTATGTAACCCCTTTTGTTAATGAATCAACTATGGGTCCATAATATGCTCAGTTAGCTCAGCAAATAATTAGGTGTGGGTCAATTGTGTATACATCCTGATTTGGACGCCACTGAATTTTATACAGGGTGTTTCATAAATAGTGTTACAAACTTTAAGGACGGATAGAACTCATCAAAATAAGAAAAAAAGTTCCTATGAATATGGTTCCGGAAACGTTCCGTTTCTGAGGTATTGGAGCTAGAAATTCAAGAAAATAAAATGTTTTTTGGTACCTATTATATTTCTTAATTTATAAGATGAATAGTTCAAATTTCGTACAGAGCGTATATCCTTAGTTCTTTTTCAAAAATGTTCTCAGTCTGCGATAAATCAAGGGGTTAGTCTTTTTTGGGGGGTGAAACCACCCAAAACCACCTTTAATTTTTTATCTGCACTTTTTTTTTTTTTTTTTGAGCCACTAGCTTCTCCGTTTCATTGCAAAGGTTTTTGGTATCTTGCAATTTTTTCGTATCTCAAACTGTTTTGACGGTGTTTTCCAAAAAAAGACGAAACATTCCTTCATTTATCGTGGAGATTATTGCCATTTATATACAGGGTGGATGTTTCTCAAATAATCTCGGACACAGCATTTTTTGATTTTATTGGTTGTTTTTTTGATGATAATACGAAATATACAGGGTGACCCAAAAACAAGTTATGACAGCTTACTTATTTTTTTCAAATGAAAACACCAATTTTTTATTTCATTTTTAAATTCTACGTTAAATTCTGATCATTTCCTATACCTATCTTTAACTGTTTCGGAAATATTGACAGTTGAAAATTGACTTTTTTGTAACTTTGACAGGCTGTACAACCTAAACGGTTAATTTTAGGGGAAAACCCAGTTTACATTCCTATCTCAGTTTTCCATAAACTATCATTTGACACCAACTTTGAATTTAACCGGAGATTAAATTTATTTGGAATTTTTAATTATGGATTAAATTCAAAGTTGGTATCAAATGATAGTTTATAAAAATCTAAGACAGGAATGTAAAATGGGTTTTCCCCTAAAATTAACCGTTTAGGTTGTACAGCCTGTCAAAGTTACAAAAAAGTTGATTTTCAACTGTCAATATTTCCGAAACAGTTAAAGATAGGTATAGGAAATGATACATAAAATATGTTCAGAATTTAACGTAGAATTTAAAAATGAAATAAAAAAATTGGTGTTTTCATTTGAAAAAATGAAGTAAGCTGTCATAACTTGTTTTTGGGTCACCCTGTATATTTCGTATTATCATCAAAAAAACAACCAATAAAATCAAAAATTGCTGTGTCCGAGATTTTTTGAGAAACTTCCACCCTGTATATTTTATAGATTTTATTCCAACCTTTACGTGCTCACTGTATATGAGACAGGGTAGAAAAAGATTGATCAATTCTCCATGGCCACCGTTATACATGATAACTTACACATATTTCAGGGTTCTCAGGGGAACATCAATAGATAAAATTGAAATATTAAAAATGTAATAATTAAATAGAAAATACACCCACTTCATTGTCAAGAATGAAGCACTATAATTTTACAATCAATCAAATTGAATAGGAAATAGGAATTTTTTTGTTTTAGTCTACCATATTTAGATTATGTAAATCATAATTTAAAATAGGTAAATAGAGGGACTTTAAATTAAGTGTAGTGGAATGGAATGTCACCCAATACGATTCATTTGTTCAGCAAGATACTTTCAGAGACGGATCGAGAGGAGGCTGGAAGATTTGACAAATAGTCCTTCAAAAAACTCGTGGCGGTTTGCCTGTTGCACCACGTTGTACATACAATGTACTAGCAAGTAGCAGGATTGTCAGGATGGCCCAACATGGACACTCGTGAAGGTTTTCTTCTGGGAAGAAAAAAAAAGGCAGCCTCGAGAACAGCCAATTTGTATCGTCAAAGGAAAGGCGAACCAACTCCACGAAAGACCCTAACAACTTTTTGGAATGCTTATTCCGGTAATCGACTAAAAATCATTTTCGGCAAGTTAATTTCGAAAAATAAATGCCCAATGGCAGTACTCGGTACTCGGTAAGGAACCTTTTTTTTTTCCTTTTTTTTTAAAGGAACCAATTATGGCAGCCAGTTGGTTCAGCAACCAAACTGGAAAAAGGGCCCCTCAATTTCCTCTCAGAGAATTAATAGCTTTCTCATGACAGTATTGAAAGAAAAAACTGTCAACCTGTCGACCCTCAGCTAAAATCTGTTTTTTTTTAAAGAAAAAAGTCAAACTGACATTATGTTGGCAATACAATGTAAAATTGTCAATGCTTCAAATTTTTTATGTAGAAAAGGCTTGTGTTGCCAACATAGTTACTAAATTTTTGACTTGGGGAATTATCTTTAAAAAAAAAACAGACTTTATGTAAAAATTACTACGTTCGAAAACTCTTAACGAGGTTAAAGAGTAACGAAGCACCGTGTCGAACAGATCAAGATAGTATAAAAGAAAGCGCCTATGTCCTCTCGAAGGCTTGACCGATAAGATAATGCATTCAGTCGGTAATAGATGCCGCCATATGGCTGAATAATTAGGCAATCAAATCCACGTGACTTTTTTTGGCGGATTGTTGGCACACAACAGATTTTCTTGGTTTAATATTGTCCATGCGTTCGGTATTTTGCTCAAAGTGCAGAGCGTGTTGAGCAGAGCCGTAATCACGTGACCAGCGAGCGAACAGAGCAATTGAACGCAGTATCCGAGTAGCCGAAATTTTAATAAACGAACGCAAATGAGCCTGCTTCGAGTACACTTTCTGAATAAACGAACGGTAAATTCAAGCTCGGAGAACTCTGATCAAAATATCGAACGCGCGGTGGTCATTTTCTGTGTTAACTCCGTATTTTGCTGCTTATTGCTAAATTTTATGAGTTTTGAGACCTAAAAAAACGCATACTTACAATAATTTAGAAATATTTTGAAAGGAAATTTGTAAAAAGCTGGAATTAATTATTTTAAAATCCCCAACATCAAAGGTAAACACAAGGGACGATGACTGATGACAAAAGAAATTAAGGGGGATGAGCACTTGTGTGCCAACAGTCGGCCATATTTGACACATCATTGGATTGCCTAATTATATAAAATTTAAAATGTAAAGATTATTTATATTAAAAAAAAGGAAGTGACATTGCAATGTTGCAGGGTCACCTGCCGTCAAGAGTGGGAATCTTGTACAGACTTGATGGAGGCTTATTCAACCTAAGCTGATTACGAGCCAAGACTACATCGATAATTGAACTTCAATATGCGGATGATAACATTTTGATGATCAATACAAAGGAACATCTTCAGATAATTATCAGACCATTATTTGCAGAACGTAGAACACTACCCAGAGCTTGGGAGGCATCTTCTAGCAAATGCAACCATTGCCACTGAAATCCAACATCGCTTGAAGTGTGCTGGCGCGGCGTTCGGGCGACTGCTAGAGAATCTAAAATGCAGTTGTAATACCAACACTTACATATGGCTGCGAAACATGGACCATCTACAGAAGACACATAAAAAGCCTACGGATTAAATGGCAGGACCGACGAACAAACATTAGTGTTTTAGAGGAGGCCAAAACAACTAGCATGGAAGCTTTCATCATTAAGCACCAACTTTGCTGGACACTCTGGACAGGTCACCTCGTCCGCATGCCCGAAACACGTCTTTCCACGACAGATTATCTACAGTCAACTGAAAGAGGGAAAACGAAATCAGGAAAGACAACAAAAACGCTATAAGGATATTTTTAGGGAGGAGTGCCGCATCGATACCAGCAACTGGGAGACGACGGCAAATGATAGGCCCTCATGGCGTCGAGTGGTACACGACGGACCACAAACTTTTGAAGAACAGCGACGCAGTCACGGGACCGAAAAGAGGAACCGCATAGGAAGGAACGGGAGAACAGAGAAGAAACAATGCTGTCAGAGCAGTGGCGCACCCAGGTTTTTTATTTGGGAGGGGGGGGGGGGGGTTCATAATAATGAAGGTTCGCTGCAGGCAAGCGCTGCCGTAGGCCGGCCGCCATAGGAAGATTTTTTTTTCGGGTGTCATGCCCAAAAACGTTTATTTTAAACCTTCAAAAAAAAACTTTTTGTAAGTGATTGTATAAGTTATGTGTTTACCTCGCTGTTTACTCACCTAAATCAACTCGCTATCGGAGGAGTTATATTGTAAGACCCTATGTTATCATTATACTAATAACTCTCCTTTCCTATGTTAATTATAAGCGTACGCCTCTGTCAAAACTTATAATAATGTAAAACTGCTTAATCAGCTGTACTGCACTGGTAGTACCACCATTCCGCCTACGTAAATGCTGCATCAGCAGTTATTTCTTATAAATACAACGTACAGAGCTTCATGGAGCTCATTCTATTATTTTAGCCAGACTAATAGTAATTAGACTAAGGTTCATTTGTTTTCGACTTTTACGTCGTAGTAATATGATCCACATATTTTCTTTTGTCACCATTGTATTTTAATTAATAAAATAAATGTTTTTAAAAATACAAATTTCTGAATCGAAAATATAATTGAGGCAAAACCTTTTAGGGGTGCCATGCACAAATTATCACCAAAAATTCGAAAAAAAAATTGGCATAGATTTGACATAGATTTGGCCTGGAAATCTGGAAAAATAAAATTTAACACAAAGCGTTCAAGCTTTGCGACAGAAAAGGCCTATTCTTTCCTACCAGTGCTAAATTTCGGGGGGGGGGAGAGGGGTT